TCTGCTCTTTTTTATATATATATATATATATATATATATATATATATATATATATATATATCATGTGTTCTAGCGAAGCTTATGTATTTTGTAATAAGTCAGACAATAGCCTTTTACCTTGTAACTTTATATTCCAATTGCAATATAATTTCTCTAAAATCTGCCTTTACATCTCCCCGTTTTGACACTGTTGCATATAATTATAACTGTATTTGTTTGTTTGTTTGTTTTTTGTTTTGGAATTGTGATTTTGATGTATATTGTTCATTGTCTCTTATGACTGTGACTTTATTTCTCATAACTGTGACTATATTTCACATCTGTGTCTTTCTAAATGTCACAATTGTGACTTTATATCTCACAATGTTACTTTATTTCTTACTTTAAAGTCAGAATGACCTTTTTTATTGGGAGGAAACTTCCATTAGGAAATTAGATATGTTGCACAGAGAGAAAGTACAGATTTTTGGTTTGTTTGAAAGTTTTTAATCCCTTTTTATGTTTTATGAACTGTTTACTGCAGCATACAAATGTTAACAAGAGATGCACTTATTATCATTATAGTCACAACAATAAAAATAAAATTTTTATATTATAGTCACTGCAAACAATAAAAATGTGCTAAAATGAAGTGAGTTCATTCAGTCTTCACATAATTAACATAAGGCTGAACTACTTGAAATTGATGATGTGAGAAGAAATTAGAAGCTCATACATCAAGAAAATCCTCATTAATCTGTCAGTTGATTGATCTGGAGCATATGTATCCACCTTTTTCTTCAACGTGGAAATAAGCCTATGGGTGAGACTTCCGGTTCATTAGCCGCTATAGGTAAATAACGAGGAGAATAACAACGTGTAGTAAACGGTAAAACTGTTTGCACTACAAACCAGTGTGTTCGTAATTAAGATAATACATTAAAATAATATGATAAGACACACCAACGTTCAATATCAAGCAGCAAAACAAACTGTTTTCTTCAGCTAAAAATAGCTGGACGGAGTGGACGCAGATGAGACCGGAAGCCAGACCCACAGAATTTACAAATGGCCGCGCCCATTTTTACGACAAGAAAAAGGTGGATAACAATTTGTTATATTTTAAACTATTTTTCCAATTAAATTCAGAGCCCTGTGTCTTACTACAAGATCCTATCATCAATTTCCCAGCATTTGCTATCAGATCATGCTAGACTTTTTAGATTTGTGACCTTTTGGTCTGTTTTGCATTTCTTTCAGATATGTCATGTCACTCACTCCACACACTATATGACCATAAGTGTTACAGAGAGTCTCATTAATGGACCTCTGGATCATCTCAAATGTCAGACTTCTTATAATATGAGATCATTGTCATATTGTTCCCCTTTCAGATGCCTGTGAGTCATGGCCGTGAGGAATCTTAAAGGTGCAGTAGGAGATACAGCGCCATGTATCTCTTATCACGTGCAACGTTTGTTCTATTCGACCGTAAGTGCCCTGCTAAGTGGACTTCACCGGATATTCCGCCATGATTCCAGTTCAAAGCGAGCATATATGTTCCATACAAAGGGCATTAAAGTGTGCGAGAAGCTCACTTCTAACGAGCTGGTTATCTGAATCGGGTGTGTTAACTAGGGAGTATGTCAATAGGAACACAGTTCATGCATGTAGCTCACTTCTAACGAGCTAGTTATCTGAATCAGGTGTGTTAACTAAGCGAGACATGCAAAATATGCAGAGCGGGGAGGCGCGAGGACTGGAATTGGGAACCGCGTTGGGCTACATCATGTGTCATTCACCGGTGAGAAAACGTTATAGTACAGTTAGTAATAGTATTACAATGCCAGGAAGGAAGATCGGGTTGTTGATGTTTGTCTGCCATTCCCGCTCTGTCTGCACAGCATGCGTGAATGCGCTGATGACGTATCCTGTCTGCGCGAACCGGGTATGCAAATACATATGTTGACAGGTAGGTAGGAAAGCCAATTAAAACGCTCAGACCGAGCGTTTTGATTGGACGAACATTTCTTGGTCCTACACCTTCCACAGAATGTAATTACTTAATTATTGCTATCGGGATGTGAAGAAAATTTCAACCAGCATAACGAAAAATGTTTCTGAAGACAATCACCTATTGCACCTTTAAGGGCTTGGTTTCACATGCAGAAACCCTGGTATGTAATGCACAGCATGCATCTGTGAATGTGAAAATTCAGAATCCTAATGTGAGAGCTTTTTTATTATGTTGCAACAATACAATATCTGTGGTTGAGTAAATAATTGAATTAACATATCTGATACAGAGGGTCCTGTTTTGTATTGAGGCAACCTTGTTGTATTGACACCATGTCACTCAGCCTTTAGTGTGCCCCATGTAATATTGTGCTCTGTGGTGCTGTGGCTAATGTCTGGATGTCAGACAGTGGGAAGACACATAACAAGGATAATCAATGCATTATGAATTTAGAGGCCTTCAGTAAAACAGTTTAACCTTATGTATGGAATAAATTGCCAGAGCATGACTAAACAGACAGGGTCATGGTGAGCATAAATCCATGTATTAAAGTATTTGGTACATGGTAAAATGACAGGACAAGGTAACAAAACTTAAGTTGGAATCCATCTTTCCTTGTCTACAGAATATCAAGAGCCTCCAAAGTTGTACAGTTTAAGAAAGAACTTCAATATCTGATTTACATATATGTTTATAATAACATACATGTAATAACACATATTGTAATAACATACGGCGCGGAGAGGGGGTTGGGGGATGCATTTGCGGACCATGCCACCCCAAGCAAGTTACTGGCCTGCTGGCCCCCCTGGAAATAAATGAATGGCCCTATTGTATGTATCCTGGGGTTGGCTCTGCCCCTATAAGTAGCGTCCAGACTATATTAGGGATGGTAAGATTTACCAATTTGCATCAGTGCATCGACATAAAAGTTAACGATGCGATGCATCGATTTAAAGAAGTGTGCATTTGACACTTGGTGCATTGGACACTGGACACATCGTTTCTAACATATTTGCATTGAAAACTGATTTATTTGTATATAGTTATTAGTAGATGCTCTATATATAAATTAATATATAAATTCAACGAGTAATTTTTTTTCAGTGTGGACACCAAGCAAAGGGTTCAATATAGTAATATTTTTACTACTGGGTGAAACATATGAACATAATAATGTTATTGTTATAATTACAATAAGAATGCCTATGTGCAAATAGCCCCCATGTATAACATTGTAACGTAAAATATTACGCATGATGATCATTTATGGAGTGTTTACGTCACTTAGTATAGTCTTCTCAATGCTTGTTCCACACACACACACTCTTCCGCTCTCAAGCTCGCTGAAGAGGAGGCAAACTCGAGATGTGCGAGCCTCGCCGATGAACTCATCAGCAGCAGGAAAAGCTGAATGTGTCCCAAATAGGATGCCTCTTGGTCTTGGTTACCGTTACGTTTTATGAGCATATCTCTTATTTAGCTACTCAGCATCATGTCAAGATAAGATTAACTTCCTTTATTCGACTTCTGTCGGTGAGATTTTGACTGTATGTAGCTGTAATGTAGGCTACAGTTTAACAGTCTGCAAAAGTGTTTCATGTCCCTGTTGACTTGCTTTAAATTTAGCATTAACATTAGTGACAGGCTTGAATTTGCGTTGCGATAGCGGTATCCTCAGCAAATTAAGTTTACCTACAGATTTGTTTGTGATGGACTGGGAGGCTTTTTATTTGGGCTGCTGAGCCCTGAAACTTTATTCTCGTGCTGTGAAGACACTTGTGAAGATTTGACCACAACATTAGAAGCATGAAGTGAAACTCTTCACAGAACTTCTCGTGAATGGCATGGTCCACGCTCAGGTGTAGGGAATCTCCGAAAGAATTTCGGAGCGTGCGATAAAAGTAACATCAGTTGAACAGTGCTAAGCGAAGATGTTTTCTGAAGAAGCTAATTTCAGTTACACTTCAAACGGCACGGATGAGGACTTGCTATCGGCGCTAGATGACGACTGGAGCGACACTCCGGCTGAGAAACTGTCACGGACGGGACACAGTGTGGTCGCCGTTATTTTGGGATCTATTCTGGTATTCGGGATCCTGAACAATTTCATCGTGCTGGTTCTGTTTTGTAAATTCAAGACCCTGCGGACTCCTGTAAACATGCTTCTGCTCAACATCAGTGTGAGTGACATGCTCGTCTGTCTGTTCGGAACCACGCTCAGCTTCGCGGCCAGTATCCGCGGCAGGTGGCTGGTGGGGAAACACGGGTGTATGTGGTACGGCTTCGTCAACTCATGCTTTGGTGAGTAAGAACTTGAATAAAAAAATAAACCAACAAAGAATGCAAGATGCGCGTAGGTACAGCCATTGGGGATCTATCTATCTATCTATCTATCTATCTGTCTATCTGTCTGTCTGTCTGTCTGTCTATCTATCTATAATGAGCAAAAACAGGTTACAGACAGTAGGCCTACGTGATCCGCATGATTCTGTTTAAAATAAGAATCACGATTTATTATTAGCTATTATCATTGTTTTGCTTAGTATTGAGATCACCATTTTCTCACGATTCTGAAAAAAGTTTGTCAGTCAGTGCTCTAGAAAAGCTGCACATAATACAAGTTATTTGCCTCAGTCTATTTAAAATGCAATAAACAAAATGTGAAAAATAAAATATGTAATAGTGGAAATGCCATAGGAAAAAAATTATTTAAACTTTCATGATGTGTCAAATTTGTAACACACACACACACACACACACACACACACACACACACACACACACACAACCAATAAAAAGTTTTGGAACATTAAGACTTTTTAAATGTTTTTAAGAGGTCATCAAGAAGCCAGCATTTATTTGATCCAAAGTACAGCAAAAACAGTAAAAATGTTAAATATTTTATACTATTTAGAATAACTGTTTTCTATTTGAATATATTTTAAATGTAATTTATTCCTGTGATTTCAAAGCTGCATTTTTAGCATCATTCTTCCAGTCACATGACCCTTCAGAAGTCATTCTAATAGGCTATTCTTATTTGCTGCTCAAAAACCGTTAATATTACTATTATGTTGAAAACAGCTGAGTAGATTTTTTTCAGGTTTCTTCTATGAATAGAAAGTTCAGAAGAACAGCATTTATCTGAAATAGAAACATTTTTTAACATCATAAATGTCTTTATCATCATCACTTTTGATCAATTTAAAGCATCCTTGCTAAATAAAATTACTTAGCAAGTAATTTCTTGAACAGAAATTCTTAGATTCTTGAACAGCAATAATTTCAGAAGGATCATGTGACAATGAAGACTGGAGTAATGATGCTAAAAATTTAGCTTTAAACACAGGAATAAATTAAATTTATAATATATTCAAATACAAATCATTTATTTTAAATATAAAAATATGTTTCACAATATACTGCTTTTGCTGTATTTTGTATCAAATAAATACAGGCTTGGTGAGCAGAAGAGAATTCTTTCAAAACATTAAAAATCTTACAATTCAAAAACTTTTGACTGGTAGTGTGTGTATATATAATAGTTTAAGCGAATTTATTAAATTAATAATCCAATTACTCACTCAAAGACAGCTGTGAGTTTTTGAACAAACTGGATGAATGACTGATTCAGTGACACATTCATGGTGACAGTCACTTGATACTACTTTTTGAATCAAGATCACAGATTATGATATTAGCCTAATTTCTTTTTCTTTTTTTAATTTTGATTGACACAAAATAGACTCAATAGACTCAAATAGCTCAAAAAGACTTATGGAAGATTATTATTATAATTTTTGCATTCACATTTGGTTTATTGCTTCTGATTACCACAAAATTAGTGTTTATTACAAAGAAAAAAAATTAAATCAACCAATCAATCAATCAATCAGTGAGGGTAAAGGTAATGAAGTAATGCTAAATATAACTTCAGCTGACCATTACTACACAGAAAAATACAAAAACAGTTTAAGTTCTTGATTTTGCCAATAAGAAGAGTGTTGATCGATAAGCCTTGGGTTAGGCACTGGTGATTTGTAATTAATATATACTATATATATATATATATATATATATATATATATGCAGAACTGGTCATGCAGAATATGTGCTATGTGCTTTAGAAGTGCTCATAAAATATGCATGCCAATAAAGTTAATAGTGAGCATTGGCCACTAAACTAAAGTGTTACCATAAAAATTTGGTAAAATATGGTTGTGGTAACTCTCTTTCTTTCTCCCACACACTAACTGCAGATTTATATGTAACCTTATTGGACTTTGAAAATTATTTGACGAAAGTCACTTTTGAACCACCCTCTGTAAATCATTCTGTAATTGCTGAAAAGTATTTTAAAGTTTCAGATGGATTAATTTGGCCATTTAAATCATGCAGTAACTAATACAGTCATGGCCAAAAGTTTTGGCTGTGACACATTTTGTGTTTTGCAAAGTTTGCTGCTTCAGTATTTGTAGAATATTTTTCCACGTCAGAAGTTTTAAAGGCTTTTATTGGCAAAAAAAATATATACTGAGTCAATATTTACAGTGTTGACCCTTGTTCTTCATTACCTCTGCAATTCGCTCTGGCATGCTGGATATTAGATTCTGGGCCAAATCCTGACTGATGGCAATCCATTCTTGCCATATTAGTTCTCAGAGTTGATCACAATTTGTGGGCCTGGCAGTGTTTTTGGGCAGAATTATGAGAGAGCCCACTCCCTTGGTTGAAAAAGCAACCTTACACGTGGATGGTCTCAGGATGTTTCACTTTTGGCACAACACAGGACTCCTGATAGTGTTCACCTTTTCTTCACTGAACAATCGATTTTCCAGATGTCCTAAACAGTTGGAAGGGAGCTTCATCAGAGAAAATAACTTTGCACCAGTCTTCTGCTGTCCAATCCTTGTACTTCCTGCAGAATTTCAGTCTGTCCTTGACGTTTTTCTTGGAGAGAAGTGGCTTCTTTGCTGCCCTTCTTGACACCAGGCCGTTGTCCAAAAGTCTTGGCCTCACTGTGCGTGCAGATGATCTCACACCAACATGCTGCCATTCCTGAGCAAGCTCTGCACTGGTGGTGACACGATTCTGTAGCTGATTCCTCAGGAGTATGACATCATTACCTATGGCATCATTACCCGGCACGATCACAGTATAAAAGGGCGCCGGGAGAACACGTCATCCTCTTCTTCGTCTTCACGACTGTTTTGTTTGAAGCATGCATTCCGGTAAGAACGTATCTTTCCTCTTTAAACCATGGCGAGCACTAGTAAGGCGTTTAAGAAGTGTGTGGATCTGTGTCCTCGTTATTTGACACCTGATGATACACATGATCTTTGCGTCTTTTGTTTGGGTGAAGAGCACGCACGCGATATACTCGAGGGGGCAATCTGTGTGCATTGTGAGCTTTTTTCAATGAAAAAGCTCTGCTCTGGTTTATCCCTCTTTTCGAGGAAAGAGGGACAGCCATCAGCTCCCCGCGGTTCACGACCTGCCGCTGCTGAGGTACGGAGGAAAATGAGCTTGTGGGGATCGCAGGTGGACCTGGCTGATGAGTTGAGAAAGGGTCTTTCCCTTTCGCGCTCGTCAGTTGTGGACGAGAGTGAGTTGCTGGATGACGCTGCTATTTCTTTTACATCGTCTGATCCAGCGGCTAGTGCTCTGCTGGCTTCAAGCCAGGAAGAGCAGGAGATGTCAGGTGAGGATGAAGAGGTTGAGACCGAGTCCTCTCATTCCTCCTGCCCTGCGTAAGCTCAGTTGCTTGAGGTTATGGAACGCGCCACGGTGAGGCTTGACTTGCCGTAGAAGCGGGTTAAGAAAGTGGCGCCTCGAAGCCGCCTCGATGAGCGTTGTCTTTTTGATCATAACCCTCCAGCTCAAGTGAGCCTTCCATTTCTTCCTGATCTCCATGTGGAGATCAAGAAGGCTTTGAAAAATCAGTTTTCATCCCGCATCCATAGGTTTCAGCATACTAGTTATGCCAATATTGAGGGGATATGTGAGAACCGTTATGAGAAAATGCCCCCTATTGAAGAGACGCTAGCCAGATATCTCTCTGTGGGTGAGACATATTTTCTTAAGGCTCCCTCCCTGTCATCCAAACCCCTTTAGGATATATCTCGTTTGAATGGCAGGGCGTATGCAAAAGCAGGACAGGCTGCAGCTTCGTTGCACACCATGGCGGTGCTACAGGCTTATCAGGCCGACCTGTTGAAAGACCTGGATAAAGGCCAGGGTTTATCCCCTGACCGCGCTCGGTTGCCTTTAAATCCTTCATTCCATGAAGGTCCAGGTCTGAGCCTGAACAACAGAGGGGTCCTGGCCCATCTCGATCTAAGAGTCAGAGGCGGGCACAGAAGACTAGTGTCGCGACTCGCGCCCCTCCCCTGCCTTCAGGTAGGGCTCAAAGGAGGCGTGAGTGAAAGGGTAACAGGCAAGATTTGAGGGAGGTGATCCAGACGAGGCGTTCTCAGCGTTCTCGTCCAGACCAGAGTAAAACCTGAACATCTTCTCACCTCCTTCCGAGAGTTTTTACATCTGCTCTCATCTTTCTCCCCTTAATTCCCCTGAAGCCACCATCCCCTCCACCTGACGAGGTTAGGTCGGAGCCTACTGCACTCGCATTAAAGTCTCTCATGCTGGACCTATGATGTTTTGGTTAGTTTCTATGTCCCATAGAACTACCTACTGATGGTCCGGACCCAAGTGCTCTTCGGGCTTCGCTTTCAGATGATACCCGTGAGCTTGAGACATGCGCGGGAGCCGTGGTTGGTGAGTACGATCCATTTCATCCATCTATTGCTAGTTTATGTGAATTCACTAACTAGTTTCTCCGCAGCGCTACTTGGACCTGTTCCTGTTTTTCTGACTTTGTTTTAGGGTTAGGACCTCTGCGAGCACCTCCCCTGCTAAAGGAGCACACCCTCTGAGGAGCAGTAGCTCTTCATGCATGAATGGGTTAATGGGTCCCGTTGTTTCTCAGGTTCTCTTCGGGACTGATTAAACGGGACCCATGCATCGAGATAGAGAGCATAAGACTGCATCAGTTGATGGTCTCTTATTGGGCCCTGCTAGACTGCCCTTCTAATCTAGCGCTGCCTTCTGGTCGAGCTGAGAAATGCTCCCCTCACTGCGAGGGCTAGCTATGAGCCTATCGCTCCCAGTTTGTGTTTTGAGGGCCCGAATCAGCTTGAGAGATGAGAGCGCTGCTTCCGAGAACTCCATATGCAACAATACTGAGTTGTTAGGCCCGTCCTGTCGCCTCCTTGGTCAGTTGCCTCTATGCTGGGACCCTGTTG